CGTAGATACCAACTTGTAAAGCATGGATCTTTACAAATAGATGGGATTGTGGATTTCTTCACAATGTTAGCTGCAAAACATAAACCGAAAGGGTTTACTGTAGTTGCAGTTCGACAGCAACCACCATTCACTAAAATTACCTCACAGTCTGGACGGCCAACGGACACGAGTTGCCTGCGCGCTTGGCAAAGTGGATAGATCTCCGGCAAGCCCAGTTCAACAAACCAGAAGACAGACCCCAACAGTAGTTTGGAAAAACGAAGAAAACGTAGACCGAATGGGACAACAGTGACGACCAAATATGAGTGAAACGGTCAAAATGTGTTGTTTCAAACATTATTATTTCAAACTAAAAAAGGTAAAGGGTAATTTTGACATTTTCTTTAACTATCCCATCAATATTTTACAAATAACCAAACATAGCATTTATAAAATTAACTACATTTTCCCGGCAAAATTAATCCCAACCAAACACCTTTTTGTAACTTACTAGACAAAATGTCCTTCCCTCTATATTCCAGTAATACTTGTTTCTAGGTTTAAAAAAAATTTCTCCCGTACCAAACGCCCCCTAAGTATCATTTCTGATGGAGTTTCGCGGACAGCATAACGGTTGTATTTCGGATAACTATCTGATAGATACAATAATTAAACAGACAACTCGCACGTCCCATACGAACTGCGATCCCATAAATTTATTTTTACCTAAAATCTCACTTTTACGATTTTTCTTTACTGTACACGCTTCATTTTTATTTTTTTATTATCATATGAATAATTATATATTTTTTTTAAATTACATTATAATTTCATCCCCTTAAAAGTTGTCCGGCACGCTCATTGAAAATTAAAAAGAGAAAATAGACAGCGTTCTTGAGATATTTCCCAGGATGTACTTCACCAACTCTTATTTCTATTATCGTTTATTTTACTATTTCTTTTTTGGAAATAATAGGAAATTAAAACAAAAACACAACAAAAAGAAACTAGGCACAAAGCCTAGACCAGTGAACACCTATAGTGTCACCATACAGACTATCAATACAACCTGACGGTGGACAATCAAATTCCTGAATTACCCAAGAGAAACCATAAGAGTAAGAGGCTAGAAAGTCCGCTACTCTATTTCCTTCACGGTGAATGTGAGACATATAAATCTGCCAATCTCGCTGCATCAAATTTCGAATACGATTCACCAAATTAGCCGCAGGGTAATCATGGTGGCACCCATTTGTAATGAGCTGTTGAGCTGAAAGAGAATCTCCTTCGAGCCAAACTTGCCTAAAACCTCTATCCCAAGCTAGCTCCAAACCAACCAAGCAAGCCCATAACTCAACATGCAAAACTGTACCTGAGCCTAAATTTTTACAGAATCCGACGATCCAAGTTCCTGAGGCATCGCGAAAAACTCCTCCACACCCAGTCCTAGTACCATTAGCATCACATGCACCATCAACATTAAGCTTAACCCAATCCACAGGAGGACAACACCAAGCAACCAATCTCTCTATTCGATTCCTTGGTTGATTGCCCGCTCCAAAAACAGGGTTAGCTGCAAGAGCGACACTATCTCTGAAACCAATTGCTGAACGGATAAGTGAATAAGCATTCTGGCGATCACCTTCAAAAACCCAAGAATTCCTACATTTCCAAATTTTCCAGGCTAAGATTCCAAATAAAAGAGGCCAGTCTGACCCCATCCCCCAATCCTTTGAGCTGTCTAAATTAGAAATGATCCAATTGTGCAGGTTGAGGTTGAAAAATTCACGCTGATTTATATGAGGCATTATCATGCACCATACTTCCTTTGATTGTGGACAGTCGCGAATAGTATGAAGGATAGTTTCACTAGACTGATTACATCTAGGACACAGATCTAAAAGAGCCATATGGCGGCGGAGTCTACAAACATTAGTCATCAGCTTCTCCCCTGCCATTAACCAAAGAAAAAAGCGAATTCTTTCTGGCCCCTGCCATCTCCAAACACTTTCCCAAGGAAACTGTTGGATTGTAGTATCTTTGATGGCTAATATTGCATATGCTGACTTAACAGTAAACTTGCCATCTGTCGTTCCATTCCAAATTAAATGATCCTGGCCATCTTGACTAGAAGGAGGAAGAAAATTCATAAATCGATGCAGCACAGAATCTGGAAGCAATTGTCGAAGAGAATTCCATTTCCATTGCCCCAATTCATCCACGTAGTCCACCACCTTCTGAAGAGTATCACTAATAGAAAACTGAGAACCTGCATATGAGATCAAAGGACCACAATCGGGCAGCCAGCTATCAAGCCAGAACATAGTGGACTGACCATTGCCTAACTGCACCCGACTATGATCCATTATAATATTCCAATGACGCGTAATTCCCTTCCAAAGCTGGGAGCTGCTGTTTGGAGCATGAATAATTGGTGTCATGCCTGCCTCCACATTGTACTTAGCACGTAAGAACTTTGACCACAAGGCATCTGGATGAGCTACGAGGTTGAACCCAACCTTCATGATAAATGCTGAGTTCATTTCCCTCATACTCCGCAGTCCAAGGCCTCCATTTTTTTTATCCATGCAAATCTGCTTCCAGGCCACAAGATGAGAACGTCTAGAGTGTGGAGATGAACCCCAAACAAAATTTCGAATCTTCCTATCAATCTCTTCACAGGTGACTTGCGGTAATGAACACACCTGCATTGGATATGATGGGATTGCTAATAACACTGCTTTAGATAATGTAACACGACCTGCTAGAGATAGACTGGCATGATTCCAAGCAGCAATTCTAGAATTCATTCGATCCAAAACATAAGAGAAAGATGACCGACCCACTCGCTTATGATGCAAAGGAATTCCCAAGTATCTTCCAAGATCCGCAGTCAAAGAAAAACCAAGAAGCCCACTAAGATGGTTTGCTTGAGTATGACCCACATTCTGAGAAAAGAAAACTCTAGTCTTACTATGATTGACTTTTTGACCAGATGAATCACAAAAGATATGTAAGGCCTGTTGAATTATTAACACTTGCTCCTGAGAAGCTTCTGCAAACAAAAGGAGATCGTCAGCAAAAAATAAGTGGAAAATTTGTGGAGCTCCCCTTTTAATCCTCACTGGCTTCCACCTCCTGTGATCCACTGCCTGAGAAATGAGATGGGCTAGTCTTTCCATGCAGAGGACAAAAAGATAAGGAGAAAGAGGATCTCCTTGTCTTAAGCCTCTAGTTGGCCGAAATTCTTTAGTACAAGCCCCATTCCAAAGAACATTCATAGTGCAAGATGAAACACACAACATAATTAGTCTTATCAAATTTTCAGGAAGCCCTACATCAAATAGGGTATCCTGAAGGAAATTCCAACTGATCCTATCGTATGCTTTCTCAAGATCAACCTTGATCGCCATCCAACCTTTAGATCCTCTCTTTTTCCTCATTGAATGGATTAGCTCTTGATCATTTATGACATTATCCGTACCTTGTCTACCTCTGATAAAACTGCACTGATTAGGCATCACCAGCTTGTCCATCTGCAATTTTAAACGGTTAGCAACAATTTTTGTTACCGTTTTATAAATATTTCTTTGGCTAAATGCTTCCTTTTACAACCTCTTCTTGCGAAGTTATAAATAATAATTAAAGATGCAGATGAATTTATATTGATCTAACAACAATAAGTCATACATTAAACTTTAATTGTTGATTTATGTCAATTTAATGATTATGATTTCTTAAGTTACACTCATTAATTAATTATTAATTTTTAATAAATCATAACTGTTAAATATACAAACATCAACAATTAAGATTTAATGTAAGACTTATTATTCTTACGTCAGTATAAGTTGATACTATCACATAATTAAATAATTGCTAACAAATACATACCGAGTGTTTTCCAACATGTAAGTAATTTGCTAGATGTGGTTTAGGAGGTTCAGTTAGCTGGAATAGAGATTAGAAATATGGGGCAAACAAAATTCTGTTTTCAATCAGGTAATTAAATTTCTTAATACTCCTTAAATTATGAGCCTTGGAGTGTTATCCTTAATTATATGTTGAAAATTCTTCCCATATTTAATTCGAAGCTGCTGATGCCCTGTACTTTCTTTTATTTTTTATTATTGGTGCCTTATATTTCTATTTGGATTTTCAGTTGCAAATTTTAGGTATGTTTGTTGTTTTCATTTTCAGTTAATATAATTATACTAATAGTTGTAAAAAATATATATGTATGTTGTTTTGATCTTGTTTTCCTTTTTGGAAATATTTGATCTTGTTTTCCGTTTTTAAGAATTTGCAAAGGAAATAATCAAGACAACATTATTTCTTGTTTTCATTTTTAATTCATATATATTTACTTATAATTACCTTTAATACAACTTTTTTACTATTTTCTTGTGAATTCTTTAAAATAAAAAATAAAATAAAAATGGAATAGTATTTTTTAAATTATTAATAAAAATATATCAACTGCAAATAAAAATAAAATTTAAGAAAACGCATGTATGTTTTACCAGAATTTATTTCACTACGTCGATGTTCGTGCAAAATGAAAAAAGAAGCTTCCATATCAAATTTAAGCATCAAATATAATGTTTTGTAAGTACCAGATGGAAGAGAGAAAAACTATACATAATACATTGGGAAAGAGATTATTGAAATGATCGTGATGAGAGAGACATAACTATAACAGATGGGAAGGGATCAAACAATTTCATACTTTTTAGACCTCAGTTTATAATTCCAGGATCTTTCTGGTTCTTTTTTTTTCTCTGGGTCTTCTTCTTCTCCTCCCACACTCTTAGACATTCTTCTTTTGCCTCCTGTGAAGATGGCATGGCAACAAGAGGCAATAGAAGAATGCCTAGGAATGTGGGAGAAAAAAAAAAGATTCAGAGAAGGGAGAAAATTCAGAAAGACCCTGGGATTATAAATTGAGGTCTAAAAAGTATGAAACTGTTTCCAATCTGTTATAGTTATGTCTCCCTACCAAGATAGTCAAAATCCAAACTTCAGCCTCCAAATCCATATAGGGTTCTACCCTGTCTCTTGAGCGCGTAAACCAGTGTTGTCAAACCCGGCCCGACCCGGTCGGGTTGACCCGGGACCCGGTGACCCGGTGGGGTAATCGGTTTGGGTTGCACTTTGGACCGGTCATGCAATCAGCCCAGTATGACCCGGATGATCCGGTTGGGTTTTTACAGAACCTGTTGACCCTCCGGGTCTTGTAAACCGGTGCAGGTCAAATGCTTATATTAAAAAAAAAAATTAACTCCCTAAAAAGAACACGAGTTCGTCTTCTCACCAGCGAAATCACTAAAAAGAACACAGCCATAAACGTAAAAAAACATAAAATTCATCTGATCATTTTCACAGGTCCTTCTACTACTTCATCGAGTCACAAGGAAACCCTCAAGAGGACCTTGGTTGTTCTTCTCTTTTCGAAAAGGTATCTTTTTCAACATTTATCTCATCGAGTCATTGCTATTTTTTTTATTTTTTGGTTCCAAGTATATTTTTCCTTGATTTGTGTGAAGTATGTATGGTGTAGGTTGCACACACTGTGAGAATTACATACCTAAATGTTGGTCAAGATTTAAATGAGTTTAGTAGAGAAAGAGAGCTAATTGACACAACTTTGGCACCATGGCATAATGATAGCATGTAGTTTCATTCATTTGTTCTTATTTTGTGCAATTTACTAATTAAGTATGAACTTGTAATAGTGTGATAGGATAATTTTTGATCTTATTTAATGAATCTTACTTATCTCTTTTAGATATGGAGAATATTTTAAATTTATATATTTATATTTATATATATTTATAGATATTCGGGTCAACCGGTTCGACCAATGACCCACTGGTCTGACCAGTGATCCAGTATCCCGACCGGGTCGATGCTCGGGTCGGGTCTAATAACACTGGCGTAAACCACATCCATGGCCGTGACAGTCTTCCTCCTCGCATGCTCCGTGTAAGTCACCGCATCACGAATCACGTTCTCCAGGAAGATCTTGAGAACCCCTCTGGTCTCCTCGTAGATCAAACCACTGATCCTCTTCACACCACCTCTCCTAGCCAACCTTCGAATTGCGGGCTTCGTTATTCCCTGAATGTTATCGCGCAGGACCTTGCAATGCCTCTTTGCTCCTCCCTTCCCCAAACCCTTCCCTCCCTTTCGATTTGGAGCAGGAAGAGTGGGCATATGAATCTCAGTGTCTCTTCTTGATCTTGGCCGTTGGATTCTGATTCATCGACGGTTTTAGTTCATTATCCGTGGCTTCTTGATTGGATCATTGTCGAACGTTGATTAAGAAATTTGGACGGTAAGATTTCCTTATGTAGAGCAACTCCGGATTGGGGTTTATTGCCTTGGGGACCCGTGATCGCCAAGCTACGACAGCAAGTCAGCAACTACGCCTCCTAAACGCATTTGCTAATGACGACATTGTTGCTTCCTCTTCATAGCTGGCCGTGATTGTCTGGAAGATGCAATGCATTGGAAAGCTAGCTTGAGAACCTTCTTCACTGCCTTGTTGGAGGCTGAACTTCTTCTCAGTCTTGGGTCCATGGCAAATAAAGCACCCCCTTCTTTCATCATCTGCATTGCCTGCATACATGCAAATTATGTCTCTCTAATCAATTCTGCCATTCTTTGCACTGCGTCTTCTGCCAGTTTCATTGTCATATCATTATTAGATACTTATTTTCTGCATAACTATTTTATTCTAGCAAAACTAATTAAAATCATAGCACTGCGGAAACATGATTAAAGTTGAACGCATTTTGCAAGGATGACTAAATGGATCTAATTTTGACTCTCGGTTCAGCTTAAAAAGTTGTTTTTTCCTCTATAAATTTTTTTTTGGAACAGAGAAATTGAATTTGACATCTCATACGGTAACATCCCAAGCGCTGACGAAGGCGGGGAGTAATCGCCGGTGCGAAAGGGCATGGACAAGAAGCTGCTCTTGACAGGCTTCCACCGAGGGTTATATAATGACCCTCACATTTATTATGGATTTAATATTGAAGAATAATTTATATAGGTGGCTAAACTTGGGTTTAGACACTAGACAAAGAGAAATTTTATAGCTCATTTGTAATGGGCATTCTGCCTTAAATTGGAAAATAGGCTTCTAGGTGCTAAGAAGAGTAATGAGTGTTCTAAAGGCCTTTTGGGACTATCCTAAGACTAAGTGAATATGTGGAATTTTGTAGGAATTTGTTGAACAAAGAACCACCCCCTCATGACTTAATATGATTAAGTAAAAAGAAAATAAACAATAAAGTGTGTGTCTTTTATATTTACATGGCATTATATCATTTTATTGAGTTTTGTGTTGAATTCCTTCTCTAGGTATGCCTAGGGACTGTGAACGTTTGGATTTTCGTGGAGCAAGATAAGTAGCTTGTTCTTCAAGTAAGCAAATTGTAAAGCTCCAAGAGGTAAGATCTATGTTTATGGGGTTCGCTCCTACTTTGTGTTCCGCCATAGTGTACGGACTATGGTCAGGATGTATGATATGTATGAGATATATAATATAGATGCATTCATATAGAGCTATATGATGATGTGATATGATATGATTTGATGTGCTTACTTTGATATGATTTGATGTGTTTACTTTGATATGATTTAATGTGTTTACTTTGATATGTTTTGATGTTATTTCTGTAATGATATCTGGCTATTGATTCTATATGCACTGATGTCCGCTTGGGGTCCTCCCTTGGGACTGACTGTGTATATATCTGTTATATGTTGAGTTCCGCTTGGGATCCTCCCTTGGAAACACGTACGTCGATTTCCGCTTGGGGTCATCCCTTGGGAATGACGGCGTACGTCTCTGATAAGATATGTTTTGTTCTGATGTGATTATTGTGATGATTTTGTATATGATATTTGTTAAGTACGTTGATTCCCGCTTGGGTCATCCCTTGGGAATGACGGCGTACGTCTCTGATATGATATGTTTTGTCTGATGTGATTATTGTAATGTTTTAGTTACGATATTTGTTACGTGCGTTGATTTCCGCTTGGGGTCATCCATTGGGAATGACTGCGTACGTCTCTGATAAGATTTGCGTATATCCTTTGTTTAGTTATGATATTTGATTATATGATATGTTATACGAGATATGTTCAGTATAGTATAATATATGATGTTTTGTATATTATGTATCTGACTGTCATGCAGGAAGTGAGTCCAGGGTATGGAGAGTTCTCTATAAACCTGGAGCTTACTAGAGATTCGTCTCTAACCCCGTTTGGGGATATGATTTCAGGAACACAGTTAATTGAAGAGCCCTCATGGGACAAGGACACTACCCGTGGCTAGAGGTACTAGTACGAGGATATGGAGTTTTGGGTGGCTGGACGTTACTATCTATTATTTATGTTATTTCGTATTCCATTATTTTGTGGATCATGATGTCTGATCCTTTATTTTGTATTTGGTGTAACATCTCGAGCGCTGACGAGGGAGGAGAGTGATCGCCGGTGTAAAGAGGTACGGACAAGGAGCGGCTCCTGACAAGCTTCCAGCGGGGGTTACATGCATGTATGAATCGAATCGACACCCGAAAGAGAGGGATTCCAAAGGCTGTGCAGGTGTAAGACTGCACAGTTTGGGATAGCTTATAAGAATTAATTGGTACTACATATACTAATAAAATGCATCTGCTTTTCGGTAGCCCGAATCATAAGAACTCCACAGTTAAGCGTGCTTGACTTGGAGCAATTCTGGGATGGGTGACCTATTGGGAAGTTTTCCCGGGAAGTGTGCAAGTGAGAAAAAAGCACACTGAAAAGTCTCGTGTTAGTATGTGGGTATAGTCATTGATTCTTGAAGCGGCCGGGCATTACAAGTGGTATCAGAGCAGGGCCTCTTATCCAGTACGGTGTGGTTCGAGGACGAACCAGGCGGAAGCTGGTGGGCATGTAACATCCTGAGCGCTGACGAGGGCGGGGAGTGATCGCCAGTGTAAAGAGGCACGGACAAGGAGCGGCTCCTGACAAGCTTCCAGCGGGGGGTTACATGCATGAATGAATCGAATCGACACCCGAAAGAGAGGGATTCCAAAGGCTGTGCAGGTGTAAGACTGCACAGTTTGGGATAGCTTATAAGAATTAATTGGTACTACTTATACTAATAAGATGCATCTGCTTTTCGGTAGCCCGAATCAGAAGAACTCCACAGTTAAGCGTGCTTGACTTGGAGCAATTCTGGGATGGGTGACCTCCTGGGAAGTTTTCCCGGGAAGTGTGCAAGTGAGGAAAAAGAACACTGAAAAGTCTCGTGTTAGTATGTGGGGATAGTTATTGATTCTTGAAGCGGTCGGGCGTTACATTTGGCCTGTATATAGTTTGTGTATGTTTTCTGTTTTGATGCATGTACAATTATGTATTCAGGCATGTTTATATTCCGATGTAGTATTCAGTTATATGATTACATGTTGGATTTGCATGCTGTTAGACATAGTAGCACAGAGCCAAGTTATGCATGCGCCCATGGATGGGTATAGAGTCCTTTTTAGATATCTGGTATTTCAGAAACTATATATGGTATAAACTGTTTATCAGGAACCTTTGAGAGTGGGATTGACAAATCCCCAGTTGTCCAATTTACAGAGGTTACTCTGCCCGATTTTTGTCTTCGTCAAATACGAATTAAATTAGGAGAAGTATGCAACGTGAGATATTATGTGAGTTAAGAATAATTAGAAGTAAAAGTAAAAGAAAAAGTTAACTCGTATTTTCGAAAGTTAAGTCTTCCGTTGTTTCTGTTCGTATCATATGTATGTAAATTAAACCGGCTCGAGACGGGGATGTTACAGGTTACATGCATGAATGTATCGAATCGACACCCGAAAGAAAGGGATTCCAAAGAGTGTGCAGGAATAAGACTGCACAGTTTGTGATAGCTTATAAGAATTAATTGGTACTACCTATACTAACAAGCTGCATCTTCTTTTCGGTAGCCCGAAACGGAAGAACTCCATAGTTAAGCGTGCTTGACTTGGAGCAATTCTGGGATGGGTGACCTCCTGGGAAGTTCTCCCAGGAAGTGTGCGAGTGAGGAAAAAGTACACTGAAAAGTCTCGTGTTAGTATGTGGGGATAGTCATTTGATTCTTGAAGCGGCCAGGCGTTACAAGTGGTATCAGAGTAGGGCCTCTCTTCCAGTACGGTGTGGTTCGAGGACGAACCAGGCGGAAGCTGGTGGGCATGTAACATCCCAAGCGCTGACGAGGGCGGGGAGTGATCACCGGTGCGAAAGGGCATGGACAAGGAGCGGCTCTGACAGGCTTCCAGCGGGGGTTACATGCATGAATGAATCGAATCGACACCCGAAAGAAAGGAATTCCAAAGACTGTGCAGGTATGAGACTGCACAGTTTGGGATAGCTTATAAGAATTAATTGGTACTACCTATATTAACAAGATGCATCTTCTTTTCGGTAGCCCGGAACGGAAGAACTCTATAGTTAAGCGTGCTTGACTTGGAGCAATTCTGGGATGGGTGACCTCCTGGGAAGTTTTCCCAGGAAGTGTGCGAGTGAGGAAAAAGTACACTGAAAAGTCTCGTATTAGTATGTGGAGATAGTCATTTGATTCTTAAAGCGGCCGGGCGTTACACATACCATCAGATTTATTTTTCTATGATCCATGAATTTATTGACTGTACACGAAAACATGTTAGATAAAATCTAAACAGATCAAAATGAATCTTGTATCAGTTATACTACTATATCTTTCAAAATTTAGGAGGAACTATATGTAAATCCACCTTTGTATGGCCTTTCTTGAATAATCCAATAAGTAGATGTGCATGCATATATAGAATAACTGGGATACTGTACAAAATTCACTCTTTGCTTTCTGAATTTTGACTGAAATATAGTTGATATTTATAACTAGTTGAAACAGTCACAATATTCTAAAGTGTTGTGTTCATGTAATGAAAATACTATTTTGGTTCTTTTGCAGTTCTTTTGGTAGATTTAACTTACTTACCCATCTGATTGTCACTCTCTCATTGAGGGGTCTCTGTGGTTCAATGGGATGTCTTCCTGTCATCATTTCAACAAGCAATACGCCAAAGGAATAAACATCACTCTTTTCAGTGAGTTGATATGTTCTCAGGTACTCAGGATCCATATATCCAGCTGTTCCTTTAACTTGAGTTGAAATATGGGTTGCATTAGGGTCATCAGACAACCGTGCAAAA